AATTATGTATCAACTTATATGCAAACTTGCAAATAAATGGTTTTTGATGGTGGATGAATCCTTAAATACTGGATGACTATGAGATTTCCCTGTCTGCATCATAAAGTGACTTTTTAAAAAAAATGTCCTTTGTGCTTCACTTGTTCAAAGCAGTGCTTTAAAAAGTAAAGAGGAAAATAGTATTTGCTACAGTCAGCAGATGGTTGTCACATTTTGTTTTCAGTGCTCTTTACCACTTAATTTTGTTTTGTTGCGACAGGAGAGGTTGCCAGTAAAGCATCTGCTAGAGCTTATGGCTCAGGACTGGAGCTGCTGCTGATGGCATACATTCAGAATAGCACTAATCTAAAATAAATGTTTAATAAGCAGCCTGCAAAAGTACCTGGATCTTCTTTTTTTTTAATTTAATTGATGCAGAGGAATCTTGAATAGTTTAAAAAAAAGGACGTAGCTTTGATTTATAAAATTGATGTGGCTTCACATATTAAAAAAATGCAGAGTTTTAAAATCTTCTTTCCTGAATTCCAGCTCATCAAGGTGCTGTACAAGACCAGCCTTACCAGCTGCCAGTGGAAATCGATCCTCTCATAGGTCTGTCACTTCCTTCTCTCTTTGCGATTCATTAAGCTCTGTATGGTGGCCCTGAAGTGTAGATTACGGTTGTTTTTCACTTGCTGGTTGCTGGGAATGGAATTTTCCTGATAAACCATTTGCATGCAAATTGGAATGCAATGAGCTGTGGCTATGCTGGTATTTCATCAACTCCCCCTCGTTGGTTTGCCTAATTTGAACAGGCCTAGGACGCGTGTCAGTGAAAATTAATATGGATGCTGTAATAATGTGTGATTGAGAATGTGCATGAAGTACTGTCAGGATAATATTGGATCTTTTCATCACTCAGACTTGTTGATGAGCAGGAGCGAGGCACGTTATGATGAATTGGTGCGCTGGTAATGTGATGGAGCTCCTTTGCTGAGGAAATTTTCATAATAACAGTGGGGTTCTTAACTGCACCGTGTTGTGAAAAATAAAACCATGGTGCCAGGGTTTCATCATTAAAGGAGATCAATCCTTTCTTCATAGACCTGCTGTTCAGGCTGAAGGGATTAGTGTGTAATTGCAAAGCGGTTTCAAAGTTGAAATACATAGCCCACACCATTTTAGTATTGAGATATTAGTATTCATTTTTCAAGGGTATTGCATCTTTTGATCAGCATCACTAGTTAAATTTGTGTATATTTTTCTTTTATTAAGAAGGGGTGGAGGAATGTCTCTCTTTTATTTAATGACTCAGTGTAATAGATTCAGTTCATGGCTTTTTATTATAGAGGTTTATTAGTTCATATAGAGCTGATTTTTGTATTAGCATGGTTAGAGTTTGGTCAGTTCTTTCATTACAGACCCAACTTTGAGGGGTGCATACTTGGACTATAATTCAGGATCCTGTAGCGTGGCAAGTGGAACTGTAAACGTGATCAAAAAAGAAAAACTCAAACAACCTAACCCCAAAATACAAACTAGTTTTAGGACAGTTCACAGGAGCAAAGAAGACAGGATTTACCCCCCACCCCAAATTAGACTTCAAACTTAGCTCTGTTTTTTAAACTGTCCATTTCAGGATGGTAGTTAACTGAAAAAGAAGTGAAGTGGCCAATTATAGAAGCATGGAAAAGTCAGAGCAAAAATGAACTTCCCTGGATAGGTTAGAATGACAGGTCTGTCAGCCAGTGAGAATTAATTTCAAAACTAATATGCATATCGTAGTAGGAACTGCATTGTATCGGTCTGTAGATACAGACTGTTGTGTGTAGCCATTTTGCTAGGTAAGCTCTGTGATAATTAAATCAGGAACAGTGTGGGCATATTAAACCATTTTATAGAGCTGATAAAATTAAAATGTTTTTCCAAAGTTTTAAAAATAAATTCCGATCTGAACAATGCAATACTTATAATTTATAATGAGGAGGACATGTGCTGTAACTCTTCTTTCCTTCCTGAAATAGATTTTATTCCAAAAATGTTTGGAGCAGGAAATGTATATTCTGCTTGAAAACCTGCTATCAAGTAGATTTTAAAAATATAAATAAACATCACAGCAAAAAACCCAAAATCACATTGGACCTGTCTGATGATTTTTCTACGTATTGTGAAGAACATTAGGAAGGAAGTAAAATTTTTATTTTCTTTTGCAGTTTTCATCATTTTAAAATTATAATTCCATTTTCAGGCTTGCCTTTAATTTACAAAATACCTTGACTTTTATTTGGTATAAACAACTTAAAAATTAATGTTCAGAGTTCTGAAAACTGGTTTAATATTCTCTTCATACAATAGATCTAAAATCAGCCTTGTGATTACATTGGACATAGTTTAAAAGGTTTAAGGCTTTCTTTGTCACTGTTAAGTAGCATCATTGGGTACAAGCAAGTAATTATGTAGATAATATTAAAGGTTTTTAATTGTGACTAGACACATTTACCTAGAAATGGCACCTAAGAGGACCACAAAATTACACTTCTATGGTTATAGCAGGAATCTTGTTGCTGTCTTGGTCATGGGGAGGGGTTCCTGCTGTCCTCATATTCCAGTTGCACAGGAAGATGTAAAACAGTAATGTCTGATATGACATAGATCCTAGACCTCTTTTTGAGGTGAAGTTTTTTGAAGTTCTTATCCACACTCAATGTGTCGATCTGCATGGTTTTTGGGGGGCTTATTTGCCATTATTTTGTCATACAGAATGCTTCACTGTGCATTTATAATGCATTGTTGTTACTCTTTAAGTGGTCCCAACAGCAGTCAAGGCCCCGTTATGTGTTACCTGCAAAGGAATTGGCACTACATTGCTAAATTATTTGCTACCCATATGGACAAGACAGTATCAGCATTTTAAACATAGTGAAAGCATAAATGAACTCAGGATTTGATGTAGAGTAAATGGAATAAGCCCAAGGCTTAGGGGATAGCTAGCCCGTGAGAATGTAAAGAAGTTAAAGAACAAAGAGTAAAGAAGAGCACAAGACTAGGACAGAGACAGGTCCGGGGACCACCTGGAATTGAAGTAATGGTGCTCTGAGCAGTCGGCAGACAAACGCAGGCCCAGGACAATTTACTTGCCTGGGATGGGAGTCAGGTTCCCTTGGGAACAAAGCACATTAAATGTTCTTCCTACAGTGTAGGATTTTCATGATATATATCTATAGGGACCCATATGTATATGTATATACACACACATCAATTAATAAGGACAAAATGTAATATGAAAAATGTGTTCATTAATTGATTCCTGTCCATTCTGTGGGTTTGCAATGCGAGATTATCTGGGGAAATAAAACAGCAGGTGATCAAAGTAGAGCAAATATTTTCTCTCAACCCTAAAGGAGATTGTGGAGATAAGCTGGTTAATTTTTGTGCAATGCTCAAAAAAGTGTGAAGTGGTAGTGATGTTTACTGCAGTTATTCTTCTTTTAAATTACAATGCTTGCAATGAAATACAACTTGTGTACGATTTTGAAATCATACTTCTGTTGTCTACTGCATTTGAGCCACTATATAGCATATATGTACTGTCTTATAATTACATTCCCTTCATTTGTTTCTTAATTTTTAATTTCCTCTACTAGAAGAAGGGGGGAAGGAAGCTCATTACATTTTTATGTATCGTTCCTTTTTGCAATCTGTCATTTATATTTGTCAGCTGTATTTGACTTAAAGAAGGGATTTTTTCTATTTTAGAATATATACTACAAGGAATTAGCATTGTTCCCAGAAGTGTAATGAGTATTTTGTAGTAAAAGTAGAAAGAAAATGTCCCTGCCACAAAAAACAAGTAACAGCAGTGAGGAACAGTTTTGGTGTGAACGTAAGTTTCTAAAATGTCCTTGTGTTCTGTGAATGTGGATGTTAAAATTTCTTGATTTGTGCGTTTTTCTGTTCAGCCAGCAATACAGGTATGCACAGAAGGCAAATCACTGACCTTTTAGACCAAAGCATTCAGGTACATTCCCAGTGTTTTGTCATCACCTCTGATAATCGTTACATCTTGGTCTGTGGCTTCTGGGACAAGAGTTTCCGAGTTTATTCTACCGACTCAGGTAATGTATTTTTAAAATATGGGAGTAGCCTAAAAGATTTTTCTGTTAATCGTCAACCTACTGTTTCAAATAAAGGAAGAACAGGGAGCAGGGGGAGAAAGTGGAGTATGTATTTATTCCCCTATTAATAATATTTGTCAAATCTTTTCTTACCTACTGCTACTGTGTATTGTATGCTATCATTTTTGTGGAATGATGGCAAATATAAGACATGGAGCTGTTGTTGAGCCATACCATCACACTTGAAATCTATATGACAGGCATGCCTGTTCTTACACTGTAGTTTCCACAAGTAAATAAATTTTTGTGAAGCTTTGCATACCAGGAGAATTAATTGTTCTTAGAGTGCTTACTTGAATTTAATTCCGGTTGGTTTTCAGCACCAGAGAATTTTTTTGGAGGAAATACAGGCAAGCACCACAGAATAAGAACAGAAGCGAAGTCTTGAAATCTGGTGAAAGAATACTTATGAAAGCCTTTGAAAGCTATGCTATAATAGAAAAATTGATTTGGAGCCACTGAATTCTTTCATATAACATAAACTAATCGATATAATGGGTAGCAGTTAAATTAGTCTGTCAGCTGGCATGTATCCAAACTGTTGAAGTCATGCATGTGTCATGCTAAATAGAAAAGAATCTTTCAATGTAAGAGCTATAGGAATTTAAAAGCCATGGAGCCCCGGAAAAAAATAGGTATGATTTTTTCCCTTTCATTGTCTTATAATGGGAATAGCGACCTCACTGCAAGGTACTTCTTTGGGATTAATGACCCGGTGTGGTTAATGTGTGTGTGCCATCAAGCTTTCCAGTAAGTTATTAATCCCTAGGGAATATCCTACATGTTTGTCATCATTTCTTAAATATATCAGTTAATAGTGTTTTTCACACTTGGCAAACCAAAATGTTTAACAAAACAGGATGGTCTTTAATGAGAATCTGTTAAGATTAGGCTCATGGCATATTTTAGCATATCTGTCATTTTTGCAATTTTAAAGCCTTAAGTATAAAGGAGAAGTTCCATTTACTTCATATTGACTGCCTACAATTCATTGTACAGACATCTTGTTAGACCCTTCTTAGTTTAATTTTCTCATTGATGAAAATAAATTTACATAAAACTGTGAATTTAAAGGAGATCTTCAGAAAAGTTAGCTAGCAGTAATAAATATTCAGTGTATATTCTTGATTTATACGAATAGAGAACTAATTATTTTATGTTGAAGGATATATTTTACTTTACTCTGTGTGTAAGTCAGATACACCAGGCATCTCGTTACTACCATAGCTAATTATGGTACAAACCAAAATACAGTTGTCAGAAAAGTTGCAGAAGATTTGTGTCTTCTGTGTGTCTCCTTTTTGTCAATATAGCAACTCTAACTCTAGCTTAAATCAAGTGAATTCAGACGCAGTTCATTTTGCTTTGAATTAAAATGAGAATATAGTAGTGAAATACTTACTCTGAAATCGGCAGAACAGCAAGGAAAAAAGATGATGTGATCAGTAATGCATAATGGCGAGTGTTGAATTCAATTATATTTTAGCATTTACACAAAAAAAGGAACCTTTTTCCTATTAGATTTTGGGTTTGTTTGGGTTTTTTTTAACAGGAAATACTTTTAACATAAATCATGGGTTCTCAGCACAGCTAGTATAGCAGAAGCACAATAAAACCTTCCTCCAGCAGTGGGAATAATTTCTAGACAGCATTTTAGATTCAGTAGTGCAGAGACGTGAGTCTTATTTTTATTTTAATTATTCGTAGCACAGCTGTCAAATAAAACATTAACTAGAAAAGTTGTTGTGTCAAAAAGGGATATCTGAGTGCATATGGTGAAGTTGGTATTACTGTATAGAGAGGACAACTTATATTAAAGGAAACAAACAAAACAGTTGAGGAACTCTTATGAAATTAATGTTTGGTTTTTTTTTTTTTTTACTAATATGAAAGAGCAAAAGCTTACTTCTTATTTTGATGGAATTGATGGAACCTTAGCTGCACAGTAACAAAGTAAAACTAACAAGGCAGTGCAACTACACGAACAACTGTCAAATAATAGCCTTGAAAAATGTTTGTTTTCTAGAACAGAACCTATAAACATAGAATATAATTGAAAGAGAGATCTCTATAACTCAGCGATGTTTATAGCATAAACTTGTGTTCTAAAAGTATAAATCACCTCAGGTAGTTGAATACCTGCGGCTATACAACTGAAAAATATATTACATAATTAAATTATTCTCAAATCTAAACCATGTAATTGACAACTTGAATTTTCAGGGAGAAATATACACTTGCTAAGATGTTTTTGTATATTGCAAAAATGAGGTTACGTAGTCTGTGAGTGTTTCTAGTCTGTAGTTAGTAGTCTGTGACTGCTCCTAGCTTCACTTCTTCTGACTAATCTGGTCAGCATCTGAGATAGTTAGGTGACCCTGCAGCACAAATTAAAATGGAGAGGTGACCGCTATAGAACACTATTACAGACTCACAGAGATCAATGAAAGACTTGATCCCTGAGTTAATCTCCTTTCTGATACAAGGTAGATCTGCACAGTGAGTGTGCCTTCCAGGGTTTCGCCCCTTCCAGTCAGAAGGGGCTCGTGTGATAGTACTTCATTTCACAGTTTCTCTTGGAGGATTATACTTGCCTAGTAAGTTTTGTTAGTGTTTTATTTTAAATCTGATGTGCAGGTTTCCTTTAAATTGCATCATGTTATTCTATTTTTTCTTCAGGTACTAAAGTAAGTAGTTTCCCTTTTTTTTAGATATTCATACCTTTTTCTTGGTTTTTTTTGTGGTTTTCTCCACTTTAATGCAATTACTTTTTTGATCTTCTGTTATAATTCAGGCTGTTAACATTATTTTTGTTCTTTCCTCAGAACCACTCACTTTTGTTACTGTTACTTAGTGGCTGAATATGAATACAATGCCTTTGTACTGCGTAGAAAGAGGGCTATGAAATGTGTCCTACTAGCCATAATATAGGATTGACTAATAGTTTTTAATTCATGCACCAAAATATTTTATTAAGATGTGCTTAATTTGAGTCCCAACACTGATTTGTGTTACTACTTGTCATGTTACTAGTTATTATTTTTAGCACTTTTCAGAACATTTTATTTCAGGTATAGTAGTCTGCATTTCCTATTTCTTTTTTGTCCTGTGTGGTTAATCCTTCCAAAACCATCCCTCTCTGTTCTTGCTCATTCTTTATCCAGCCCAAAGCCCAAATGGATGCATGGTCATTTGGGCTGAGGAATCTGAGGTCACACATTAATGGCATCACACATCACACTTCCTTGTGTCATTGGATGCAGAATTTGGCCTGGCCCATGTTACCTGAATGGGTCAAGTAGGCGCATAAGAAATGTGTGTGTGTATCTTTTGTCCTGTCCCTACAAGATCTGCAGTTGCTAGACTTCAGCAAATCCAGTGAGATGGATTTTGGTACTTACATTCTCCTTTCATAGGATCATGTATGCTGCTGTCAGATCCAGAAACCGGCAGGACACATGACATGTTTGCTCTGTAGGAGCCAGCCTCTGGCAGGGTGGTCTGGCAGAGATCTGCTGTAGGTGACCTTACATGTGTTTCCTCTCCCACATGCAAATCCACTATGCATAAGCATCCAAATTTACATTTTTCTGAAAATATTGTCCTCTTTAGTTAAGGTTAAAAGATAATAGTCATATTCATGTTTATACAGGCTCTTGAATGGCATATTTTTAATTGCCTAGGCTTTCCTTTCTTTTCAACATTTATGTCTCTTATCAGCGGTACAAGCGTTTGTCCTATATGCAATAGGTAAGAGAGTTTTTTCCAGGTCTGTCTTCTGAGATTTCTTGAACATTACAGAAATTTTTCAAAGGGAAGGATGCTGCTTGAAATAATTGGCAAGTGTTTAAATGGTGATGGAAAAACCTGGGTACAAGAGTAATTTTTCATCTAAAACTCCTTTTCTCTGTTTAAGGAGATGCTCAAAAGCTGCATATGCTGTATGCACATATATGCTCTCATGCTACCAATTTCTTCTGGGTCCTAAATGTTCTATAGCTTCTTCTGATTCTGTTTCCCACATTATCAGAAGATTTGCATTTTTATACTGTTACTTTCATCTTAAAAACTTGCCGTAAAAGAGAATCCCATCATTTTCCTGTCTGTAAAGGGAATGTAAACATATAGAATTAAAAAAACCTTCTGGCATGATTGGCCTTTGAATAAAGTATAATATTTATGGACTGTAAATATTTTTTGTATGGACTGTGTGGACTTCTGCACTTTTAAATAAGTTTCCACCAAATCAAGAAAAAAATAATACTCTCCACTGTAGTTCTTTTTGGAACTTTTTTTAATAAAGAAAATATTTCTAAACAACTTTATAATGCATTTAATTTGCCCTAGAAAGAATAAAAGTGTAGTTTTAAAACAACCAATTTTATGTGTTTCAGGTAAACTGATACAAGTAATATTTGGACACTGGGATGTTGTAACCTGTCTTGCTCGTTCTGAGTCCTATATTGGAGGAAATTGTTACATTCTCTCAGGATCGCGTGATGCAACATTGCTGCTCTGGTACTGGAATGGCAAAACCAATATCATTGGTGATAACCCAAGAGGTAAGCAAAACCAAAAAAACCTGTTTTATAAGGATGTTGTCTAAAAACGGCTTGAGTGAACACTTTGCGTGACAAAGTTTAGGTAACATTAATGCCAACGTACAGTGTTTCTTTTTTTGTAATTGTGATCGGTTCTAGCTTAAAGAATTGAGGGTAAACAGTGCTTGCTTTGCAGCATGAGTAGAACTAATTTTTAAAGTTATAGGATACTGAGCATTACAAATACATTTTTTCCTGTCACCCGTTCAATTGGGAAGGAATGGCTCCAGGAGTGAGAGAAGGGAACTCATTTTTTGTATTTCCTGTTCAATATGAGTAAATATTTTTCTCTCAACGTGATGATTTCATTAAATACCTGCATTTCAGTTGTTTAAAACAAAAAAGACTGTACGTCGCTCCAGTGCAGACTATATTCTATGCAACTGTAATCTTGTGCATATAGGTTCTCACAGCGGTACCTTAGCTATTAGTAGAGTTATGCAGACAGTGAATTTTAAGTTAGACTAAGGTCATTGTGATGAGGTGTATAATGGCCTGAGTGGGACACTTAGGTGAAAGAAGGACACACACATGGGACGCATTAAAGAAGCAAGCTTAAAACTTTTTTCGTTTATCACTTTGGTAGGGTGCTACGTGCTTAATCCTCATTCTCAGGTGCTAGGCATTTTAATTGGTTCCAGTACAAGCAAACTAATATAACCAAACTAATAAGTCAGAGTAACGGTGCTTCAGCCTAATTCAGTTTTAACCTCTCCCCACCCAAACTCACCTTGCACTTCCCAAAGAATTTAATCTCTTCCGTCTTGCACTGTTTGCCAGGAAATCACAAATCTTTTTGCTCATTAAGATTCTCTCTTCTAACTCATAATTTGCTATGGAAAACAGTGAAACACTATGACTGTTCAACCCTGCTGTGCCTGTATTATGTAACAGGAAAGGTAGAAAGTGATCTTGTTATTATGCCGGTTTCACTCCACACAAAAAATTAATTCCTGATCCCCAAAGCAAAGAAGAAGGCAGACATGCAGCTTGAGAAAAAGCCCGAGTGAGCCACATGACAGGAGTAAGAGACTTTCAAGACAGCTCATGAGAGCTTATATATGTGAGTAAAGGGGTGCATCATAGCCAAACAGAGGTCCTGTTCGGCCAAAAAGAAAATGCTCTGAAGAGGAGTGAGAAGCAGTATATTCTGTCTGTCTTAAGAAGAGTGTTTGTTAGGTTTTCTGCCATACGCTTAAGGTCTTCTCTGACCTTGTTTAAATACTAGTAAAAAGATACCTGTTGTCTGCAGAGGACAAAATAGACATCTGGAAGACAAGAAGTGTTGTAATATCTGGCATATATTGCAATTATAACTGGCATACAATTTCATGTAATGTAAACAATATCTGACGTCTTCCAAATTATCAATTTGGTAAAGTTGTGTGTTCCATACTCAGTCTGTTACTCAACTGTTATATGAATTTGAAAACAAGAGGTGGTTTGACTGAAATTGCATCCCGTGAACTATTTTGAAGAAGCACAACTAATTAATATCAGAATGAATATCTGAATTTAACTTGCAAATTATTTGATGTTGACTGTGAAAACTATTCAAAAATTGAACAAGATACAGAAGTTCTGTTCACACAGTTGCAGAATCTTCAGGTAGAGGATGTGAGCAAACTATCCCCATTATCCTTCCAACAGCCTGATTCAAGAGATGGGAGCTTTTCTGGGATGTGGCTTGCAGAATTTTATGAGCATCTTTAAATAAATATGGCTTTGGTTGAGGGACAAAATCTCTATGAATACTTTATACATATTTTGCAATCTATCAATTTAAAGAAAATGCAAATTCTGCACTTTTTTTGCAGAGCTTGTAAACTTGTAAACTCCAAAAAGCCTGTGAAAGTAACTTAAGAGCTTGATAGTCAGGCGAGCTTGTAAATCCTAAAGAGCAAAACTGCCCTTTTGAGTCGAAAACCCTAAATATTTTACTGGTGTGAAGCAATGAACATTTGTAGGTGTCTCCTTACAGTGTTTTCAAGGCCTGCAAGTGCAGCCCATCTTTGCAGATTCCTAGGCCTGTCCTGAGAAGTTCGTCTTGTTGAGTATTTGCCAGGCTTGCCTGCTTTGTGAACAAGACCTTGAGGCTATAGGCTCCTTTATGACCTTAACAGATCACTTGCTGAGATTTTGTACCTAGTATCTAACTAGAATAGGTAAATTTTGTTATAATCTGTTGACTGTCTTCTCTAATGCAAATTTCTAACATACTAAAATTTTGCAGTTTCCAAAGTTAATACCATGCTATTTTAACTACTGTTTAGAATCAAAAAATAGCTACCTGGTAAGTCTCTTTCTTTGCAATCCTATTAAACTTGTACTTGTACTAGAGACATGCAATGGCTCCTATGTTTACTAGTTGCCATTATGTAGCTTTTTTTGTGATATAGGATGTCTGGAAGCCTTTGTTATGAATTGGGATCTCATGGCACTATACATAGGCCTAGACATCTGTATAGTAAAAGACAGTTTCTGCTTCAAAGAGATGGTAATCTGGGGGGTTTAATTTTTCCCAGAAATAGCTTTCCATAGGCATCTCTGTTCAGTCAAATTTTTTCTGAAAAGGCAAATAAAAAGAGCTGTTTCTGCTTAGTTCTGATTTTGTCAGAAATGGAAAGCACCAGCAGATTTGTTGGGGTTTGAGCCCTGTAACTGCAACTGTAACTTCCATGCATTTGTGGAATGCTAGATATTTAACTTGCCTGATGTCTTTTTGTATTGGAAGCTTATGATTTTTTTTGCCTCAAAATATAGTTTATTCGTGCTTTCAATGAGTATTATTCATTGGAATTTTAGATACTCTCAAAGTTGATACTTCTTTCTTATTTTTTTCTCTACTTAATTATCTCTAATTTCCATCTTAAAATGACTTCACAGCAACATGCATTCAATGGCACTGTACCAAATCATGATGCCAGAGAAGTTTCAACAAAAATAATCTAAAACAGAGCATTTCTTTCCTCCTTTCATAGTACCTGTTGCCTCTGATATACGTCAGTCAGCAGACTAGTATGATCAAGCTACCCTAAATGCTATCCTACTGGGCACCTATTACTCCGCCAGTTACATTTTATTTAGGTTCCTTTATCTGGTTTCGTTACTTTAGGTAGCACTGAGCTCTTGATCTCTGGCTGCATATATTAATGTTTTAGAATGCTATTTAACTCAAGCTGACAAACCAGGTGGGCTATGGCATACATGATAAATGTGTGTTTTGTTTGATATTCTTCATTACGGACAATTTTCTGGCCAACTGGACTGCATGGAAAAACTCTTTAAGTTTTTGGTTTAACAGAAGAAATATGTTACTGAAATATTCATTATTTACATTCTTTAATTTTTAACTTTTAATCTGACTTCTTAAAGAAATTATGTCTATGCAGTCTCACTGTCTGTTTAGTTTCTCCCTAATAACTCTCAAATGCGTTGATCAATTTAAACCAAATTTGATGAATTTAAATCTCAAAAATATGAAATTCCTACATGGGACACATCTGCTGGAAACTATTTTTATTCTTCACAAAACAGCTTGATTACATTTACGTTAAGTCCTTTTTTCCTTCTCAAATTAAAACCTGAAATTCAAAAAATATTTCACCATGCTCTTTGATCAAGTGTAGGGGTTTTTTCTTTCTAAATTAATTGTTTTTGAAAATGTAGAAGCATGGCAGTACTTCAGTTCGGTGCACAGGCCGTTTCTGATGCAGAAGTGTTTCTGTGGACAATTTCTGACCAAGCATAGAAATAATTTAGAACAGAGCAGAGGATCGGAAATAGTTGTATCCTTTAGAATAGCCCTGAGCCATTTGAGTTCACATTAATTAGCATAATTTCCTGTGGAGATGTAAAGTCACTTTAGATAGCGTAAGGGGCTTTTATTTTTCTCTCCTTGGCATGTGGCTTGCTTTGGGGAGGTGGGGGAGGTAGGAAGGAGAGGATGTAACCCTCCCCTTGGTACCCCTTGAAGCCCATGTGTGATCTGTATCACAAGGTTGGCTTTTGCATATTTAAAGGCTCCAATCTAGTAGCAAGGTACCACTTGGGGATGTGACTTTATGCTTCAGGACTTGTGTTATTCCTGAATAGGGTAGTAGGATGTGTAGAGGTTACTGGGAGAGGGAAAGATGCCGTGTTTTGCACTTGACCAGCCTAATGTGATGGGAGGTGGAGGGCAGGTGAGAAGTGGGGGGTGAGGGGAGGAACTACGTGTGATGGCTTGAGAAAAGAGATGAGCGAATTCATTTGCATACAAATGGTGTGCATCACTTTCAGATCCCACTCTCGCTTTGAAGCTCAAGTGGCAACTCTTAGTGTTTGGACATTTCCTAGGTTGAGGGATTGCATTTTACTTTGTAATGACAGAACCATAGGAAACAGGGCGGGCAGGAGCTTTGGTCACCTGATCTATTCTCTTTTCCCAAAAAAGGCTTAACTACACCAAAACCATTCTTGACTGATGTTTGTCCAACCTTCTGTTATAAACTTTGGCAAATATATTTTTGGGCCTTACAAGCCCTACCATTAGCAGTCTTTTCCCAGTGTTCAGCCTAGTATCCAGTTCTTTTTTGCAGCAGTTGAATTCTATCATTTCTTATATATTTATTCTTTGTGTAGAGAACAGATTATTTATTTCCTCCTTGCAACAACTTCCAGTTATTTGGATTACCATGACCTGCAATTCTTTGCTTCCATGTTTAATAACCCAGTTCTTTCTGTCTTTTGCCATAAGTCATGTTTTTCTAGACCTCTGATTTTTTTTGTTCCTCTCCTCTTCAATTGTCTGTCTTCATCAAAGTAGACCCAGCAATGCAGTTGAAGTCTTTCCAGTAATAAGTAGAAAACAACCTGTTTTACCGACCAGTACTTCTCACATCCCCATGGGATATCTGTTTGTTTCAAAACAGCATGACAGTGTTAGTTCTTTTAAGTGTGTGAGCCAATATAAATTTCAG